CAGACTCTGGCACAGGATCGGGAACGTTGGAAGCACTGTCTGACGCGTCTGCCTCCGCGACCCAAAAGGAAAGCAGCGAATGGAAGATGAAGATGAAGATATATCTTTCAGAGTTTTTGATAGCTGAATTTCAGTGCTATTGTATGGACATCCTGCATCAATATGTACATTGTACATTGTGCCTGTACAAAGCCAATCTGAAATAATTAATATACATTTTGCGTTATGTAAAGTTTCCGGTAGCAGATAGTGATGCAGTAACTAAGTCTACCACGTCAGTTACATTCACAATGCTTGCCTTATCGTACGACCAACGGGACACCAGCCGGATTACTGAAACTACTTCGATGATCATTTCACCCTCAAAGCTAGGTTTTACTACCGAACTGTTCACACTGTACCAAGGTTTCGCCGTTGTTCGATCCTGCAAGACGCTTTCAGAGATTACTGTAAATAATTTTGGACAGGATGCAAAGAAAGTTAAGAAATTGAGCGCGGACGCCAGCACAAGATTGGAAGTCGACGAATTATTTCAGAGGGATTATAAAAACGTTTTGGCACAAGCCAGTGAATTTTCCACAGCTTTGTGAATGAATTACAACTGAAAATCGCAACGTGTAACAAATTAATTCATTTTAAGTACATAACTTATGCAAAAACATAACTTTGAACTAAGCGGTACTGGCACCGAAGGATAACATTGACATTATTACTTTCATTGGCTTTCAAAACGTTGGTTCTTCATCGAAAATTACCATAACCCTCGGAAGTAGGCCAGAAATAAATGTATGTTTGATGCCGTGCACGGTAGCAATGTCGAAATCAAAGTCGAAGAATTTCTTTCCGTCTATGAAAACCTGAAATACAGTATCTGCTTTAAAACGTGCAAAGTTTCACGGACAGCAACATAGGCTACAACGCGGAAGTATTCAAATAGCCCAACTAAAACTTCACGCCAAATTGCTCGAGATGTATTGTATGGCAATCTTGTCATTTTGAATTAATGTTTTATCATCATAAAAAATACATTCACATTCAAGTCAGATTTAGGCTGTGTTTCGCATAGTGGTATTGCACTCCTAATGAATACTAGTTTGTACTCTTCATGAATTATACCTCTGGGGCGTTGTTTAGAGGAAGCAAGGCAAGGGCTAGAGAAAAAATACGCTCAGGCGAAATAAGGGGAGAAGACTTGCCTTAAACGTTAAGACTTATCATCGGCTCTAAGATAAGAAATGAAGAACAAGCACCCTTCAAGTATTATGGGTATTCAATACATGAAAAATCCCAATAAGTAATTTTGTGCATATCTTCGTTTGTCCGAAAGGAGGATAATTTTTTTATTATTATTCTTTTTGGTAATAGTGTTTTACCAAATTTGCTATGCTGCTTATCAAATTTATGCGACCATATAAAAAAAACTGGTTTTTTCCAAATAGTACGGCTTCTTCATTTTTTTTCCTTCTTACTCTCTCAATGACAGACGGGTGTCAGCTACTCGAAACTTCAGAAAAAATAAAGTATTAATGTATTATAAAACAGGTCGTTGTGACAGATCTGTGAGGATAATAAAAGGGAAATGCTTACGGATTGTATTCAGCACTAAATTATGCTTTTTACCTCAAGATAGGCTAGAAAATGCGCGCAAAATAAATGAGCGGTTGAATGTCTTTGAAAATACCATGCCTCTTTACTTACAGTTACTGAGACTATCTAGAAGGAAAACGATGAGAAATGGGCAAACGAACAGAAAGCGAGGGACAATGCAGAAAAACAAAGAAAATATGCGGTATGACTGAGTCATACTTTTCAAGGTCTGGAAGTTTTTAGCATAAAAAATTTCGTTAGCTTCATTGAACTTTGCCCAATGTCATTTTTGATAGTGTCATCGTTCCAGTTATTCAGTCGTGAACACAATTTTACACATTTGCTCAGGAGTCCTTTCCTTTTAATTGCTTATCTTTGCCAATCTAATGACTGCTTGCGAAAAGACAAGCCCCTTATCTAAATGACTGAGGCATTTTAAATATCTGGAATGCCTTCCCTTGAAATGCTCTTCAGGGCATTCATCCTGCTGCTGGAGTACCACTGCCTCGTTCATCCTCATCCTTCACAATTCGTCTGGAACAGTGGTCTCTAAATAGTATGAGACTTTAGTACGACTGATAGTTGTTGGATGTAAAATCGCATGATCGTCATTCTCTGAGTATCTGAAGGCCTCTCAACTCCAGAAAAACCAACTGCCATGGAGGATGCAGCAACAACCGCACTTAGCCATGTTCCGTGAGATGCGGGCTGAAGCGTTGGTATCACTTTTTCGCGAATATTGCAGCCTTCCGTATCATGATTCTGATTTCTGTTCAATGTTTAACGTTGTAGAACCTCATAAGCCTTCCTCATTTCCTGCATTAATCCAACCCGCGGCTTTCTTTTGGATGATAGCCGCATCTTACCCGGAAGAAGCTCGAGGTATTCACAGTAATAATAGATTAGCACTTATGGCATGTGCCTCCGATTTGGAGTCTTTGTGCAACAACCGTCATGCATGCATTTTTCATCAGCATGAACAAATCATGTGTGAAGTCGTTCAACAGCGCAAACGTAACACCAACATCACCGCTTTTCGTTAGCCATGAGTACTATTACATAATTTTAATTCTAAAATCATTCATTCTGCTCTAAAAAATATTCACTTATTGACTAATTAGTTCCTTTGATTTTCATTCACCTCATTATCGATTCATTCATTAATTTATTTTCAATGTATGCCAGTCAGTTTTGATTGTGGATCAGTTGCTGCTGTAGAACTTTTAATTAATTCAAGTACTCTCCGTCATAACTGGATCCCAGAGCGAAGCAGTTTTATGTCTTATATGCAGTCAAACAGTTCAGCCCGCGGTCTGTGTCCATCTTTCTTCCTTGTGACTGTGCCAGAAAATTCCATCCTGCGAATCTCTGCAGTTCCATCCAAATCACATGCCCATATCGCAAATGCGATTTCTCAATCAGAAGACGATCAGTTCGTCGGTGAAGACACCTCACATTACTGTGTGCCGAACCTTACCGACCCTTGTAACACTGCCGACATATCCAAGATACCTCATGAACTTTCAGCTTGTATCAAAGGTTGCATCTTATTGGTCCTTTCATATGATATAGTTCGTCGTGACAGTAACTGAGAAAGTAGAAATTTATTTTCTGCATAATGATCGATAATAATTTTGGCAGCAATTGTTTTATCCATATTTTGATAAACATCTGCATTCTTCAGTAAAGTCAATAGGTTTGGTGTCTGCGTTGTCAGAAAGTGGCTGACTGTCGAGACTGGGGCAGCTACAAACAATTGGAGCACTGAGTTCTTTCCAGTTCTGAAACATCGTTAACCACGTCCTCATTCCCCTAAAGGATAAAAAACTCGAAGCATATGCAGCTGGCGATTTAGCCCTCTCTGGGCCGGCACCGGCAATGTACAGTACAAAGGGTAGAAGAAAGACTGAACGAACTTGGTAGCAGATACTGTGCATAATCGACATAGGTGGAAAATAGCGGCTTTCCAGTACGTCTGTGAAACACATGAAGACGACGAAAGTCCATGCAACAACTTCTGCAGGACGTGAATCGTTCCTCTTTTCTCCTCCTGTTCCTAACTGGCAACCTTTTGCAAAACACCACTTTTAAAAACGGTCAAAATCTACTAATCCCCGGTAGCCTAATCCGTTCACGGGTAGATATGATTGCGCATGGGAAAAGTTTTCTGAAATGCAGGCAAATTATCAATTATCACTTACGCGGAGAAATTACACCTAATTCAAAGCTTAACTATGATCGTGTCTCAGTTCACGTTGAATTTTTGTCGTCCGCGTTCCTCTTTCCTTCTGAACGTCTTATGAACATATGAAAAACAAAGCACTGTTAAACTGCTATAAATTATGATATGGTCATAAACCTCTGCCTCCAGAAATGCCAATGTCTGTGGTCTTTGCTTCGCAAAGTAAATTCGGCATGAGGAAACAAAATGTGAGAATAGTGATAAGCGAATATGAGAAAATTCGCGTCATATCTCGCTTACTTTGCAAGGTGCCTCACGGAAAACGACCGAAATAATAGTTGGTACTCCCGCAACGATAGCAAAGTCTTCCTTTTCACCTATTCTTCGTCGGATTTCGAAAGTCCTGCCACGAGTACCAATTAAGTACTTTCCAATCAGGACCTAAATGATCAAAATTAAATTGTGACAAAGAAAGTCAAAAGCGAACTTCCGACAAAACCATCTTAAAAACATTAGAACATAGTGAAACCTTATATCCAAGATGTAGATGAAGTTTTAGTTGTCGCTTAGCAACGTCTTTTAAAGAAACTTCAATATACAACTGACTTCACTGTTTTTTTAACTGTATTTCGAGAATAGGAAGTCGAAGGGAGCGAATCCCTACTAATGTAAAAGATCCGCAGACCTAGCTAATATTTTTTCTTAGGAGATACGGTCGCTTGGTACGGTAATTAGGCAGTGAATTCATATAAAACTGTTCTGTTCGTGATTAATGCACATGGTCATATTCCCTGAAATATAATTAACCAGCTTATCGCTTATTTTCTGATCTGAGGATAGTCCCTCTTGCATTCACTGACAACTGGACCGCAGTTGCTAAATCTGTAAGGTCGGTCTCATTCAGAACATGGGTTCTACTTCCGATCAGATCGTTCCCTTTTCTTTTTCCAAAGTTAATAAAAAAATGTACCATTCTGTGAGAAGGAAACAGGAAATTGCACACTATGCTGTCGATTCTGACATTAAAATCATGCCCTCCTGGCTGATAGCATGGAAAAACAATCAACGCCTTACCATTAACTTCATGAAAAGAAGTGCGTAAGCAATAGCCTCATCATGAAAGCATGAGGATCGATATTCCAAAGGTTACAACCATTCCCTTCGTTTCTCATACCGACTGAAAGCAGAGTCAGAGGACGGTGAATGTGTGAAATCGGGGAGTGGAGGTAAATGAATGAGAAAGAACGACACTGCAAAAATGGTTTGAAATCATCTATCATGCAGTAGATCTTCATAAAATCATTTAGTATTCATGATAGCGTTGCCATGGTTTCAGCCGCTGTATTGTAGCTATGGTTCATATGAAAAACAGTGAGACACCAGTTATATAAGCATATGATCCATCTATTGCAGATTATATAATGTCATATTTAATGAAATACTTGGCGCGCTCTGCTTTAGCCTAATATGCACTGTACAAGGAATCCGCTTACTCAAAAATTGCATCAGATTTTTACTAAGGCCTTCTTGTGTGACAGACGATAAACAATTTCTCCACTACTTGGAATCTTATGAATGGATTGTCCTTTGTTTTATCCTTTTTAGGAGTCGCAGTTCATATGCTCTTTTCATCTACTGAAGTTGACTCTCTTGGA